TGTCGTATTTTCCACGTGTACATAGCTCCACCGGTACTTAACACCGCCGTCCCTCCTCCCACAGTATCTTAAACACGACCAAGGTCTTGAGTCCCTCCTACACGGACAAGCTGTCGCCGGGCGTTTTCCGAGCGCGCGCCACGCAGCCGGGGCGCGGCCGCTTTCGGACAAGTGGGCGCGCCGCAGCGCCGCGAGAGATGCCCGTGCGCATTCCCGAAATTGGCATTCCCAGACTCTCGTCTCTGTGACAGTCTCGCGCGTGACGTCATCGCGCGGCGCGCGCGCGCGCGCCCACTCTGTAAGCAAAGCCGTGCAAGGAGCGGCGCCCCGTCACGCCCGCCACGCGCGCGGCCGGCAAGAGCGCCCGCCCCCCCAGACCGAGCTCGGCGCGCGGCCGGCGGCATTACACCGGGCAACTAACTCTGCCGAACGTTGGTGTAAGTCGGCATTGGAAACCACCGGCGGCCCGCGCCACGCATGTCCAGCGGCCACGTTGCCCCGCGCAGGGTCGCCTGGCCAACCGCAGCCCCCCACGCGCGGCACGGCAGATCTCCGGCCGCCCGTTTCCTTCATACGTGCCCCCGGCTTTTTCTTTTCTTCGCCAAATTGCTTTTTCCCCCCGCTACTCCTCGCGCATCATGTCCTGCAAGACGTCCACGTCGCATCTGTTTAAACCCCCGCTCGCTTTTGTCGCCCACCCGCCCTGCGCACCTGCATTTGAACGGCGCACGAGTAGCCGCGCAGGAGCCGCCCGGGATCTCCGATCGTTGCCACGCGTGACGCGCTCCTCCCGCGTGACGGCGCGCGCCATCCAATCTCTCTCGCCGGGCCCACTTCTGCGCCGCCTCGCGTTGCGCGTTGCGTGTTTGGGGGGGGGGAAAGGGTTGGGCGGGGGCTGCGCGCGCTGCGCGCCGCTCTGTTTCCGCGGTGGGGGTGGTGTCCGTTGCGTCGTGCGGCAAATTCATGGGACTACTTGAGCGATACCTGGGGGCGTGCCCAATGGCGGGTCGCCACCTACGTCCCAACGGCAGCCGAACGGCCGCAAGTGTCCGACGGCTACCAGCCAAACTGCCCGATGTCTGCCCGTGCCGGCGGCGTTCTGTACGGCGCCACGTGGTCGCCGCCGATCTCCTGTCACGCGTTTCTCTGTTGTCAGCCAGCGAGCCCCCATCGCCCGCCAACCCACGCTTGCCGGTCCGTCCATGCCGTCGCCAGACTCCATTCCGCCCCCCTCCGCTTGTAAGCTGTACAAGCTCACACAACTCAACGCGGACAAAAACCCAACTCCCCCACCCCCTGC